ACTCTTTCCAGCTCAGGAGTACAATTGATGTAGTGCTGCTCTTGATAAGAAGAGCACCTCTCTGAACTGAAACTATTTGTATATTTCTGATGAGCCCCGACCTGGCAAGGGGGGGATGTTGCCTGGATTTAAATTTTTTGTTACTTTCTCCAATTGTAGTAGTAGTGATAATAGTAATAATATCACACTTGCACTCCACCTTATAGTGGCTATCATTTGAAAAGGGTTTTACCCTCAGCTGTGCTGCTTTTAACTTTCACTTTTTATTAACAAAGCTAATGTGAAAGCAAAGTGTTTCATGTTGCCAATTTAACTTCTTTAATTAAAAGTGAAAGTTGTAAGCTGGTACAGCCGTGGGTGAAGTTCTAATGTCATCAATGGGGAAAATAGGTTTAAAATTGAAACTGTTGGCACAGCAGTGGCTCTCAATAGTGCAGCACCTGCAGTTGTGACTCTTAACTTTTATTTAATGAAAAAAAAAGAATTTGAAATATTAAAGTCCCCTAGTATAGGGGGTGTGTTTGTAAAAGAAAATGTAAAGCTGTCAGTGCCTTAATTGTGATGGAAATGTAACTGAAAATACAAGGCAAACCTGCACCCAAGGGGAAAGCCCTGAGAGCTTTTAAAATACAATTCCTATGAGCTTAAAGCTCGAAAATGTTTCTGAATCCTGTCTCATATCTAACTTGTTAAATATGATGCAAAATTCATATAAAGCGCAGCACTGATTTTACAGATTGCATGGATAAATTATTTTTCCACTAAATTTATGAACTGTAAGCATTGCATCAACAAAAGGGACTATTATTCTACTTATGTACGTAATAATCTGTGCTCTGATTTGGAAAAAAAAATCACTGAGGGGGGTGTATTTAGTTAAAAACAAAAATTAATGTAGTAAAAACATCCCTTTTTTAAAGAAAAATTTGAATACTTTCTAAATGCAGAAGGAGCTCCACAGATACAGATCTCCCATGTGCAAGTCGTGACACCTTTTGGGCCTTTCTAAGTAAGTACGTACCTAAGCTAGGAAAAAAGGTCCCAGCCAGTTAGGGAAATTGACAAACTATGAACTTGAAGCACTTTAGTTTCTTATTTATTTGAAACCTTATATCATATTGTGCTTTTTAATTCATCTACAGACATTAAACTGATTCAAATATGTTACCACATATTAAAATGTTAGAAAATATTTATCACAGATGAGCATGTTGTTATACTTTACTGGAGACAAGGTTTAGTATCTTTATAAAGAGAAGGGTTGGTAACAGTCGATTGTAGTTAACCATGACCAGGAGAACAAGTTTCCACAAATGTTAATGTCTGTCTATGCTAGCATGTAAAAAGTGCTAATTAGAATATTTATAATATATTAACTATGCTAGCATGTAAAAAGTGCTAATTAGAATATGTATAATATATTAACTCTTTTTTTTGTTTAGATGTGGCCAAAAAGATGTGGGAGGTTGTGCTAGTAGGTTGTATCAAAAACCAAAGTAACTGAATAGTGATGAACAAGTGTAAAAAAAAAAAAAAAAAAAAAGTTACTTCCCTGGTTTAACATTTTTATTGTTAATATCTATTTCATTTATTGTTTCAGTGCATTAAGGTGTTTTGGAAGAAGTGTATATTTGAAGGCAGAAAAGATAGAGATGCAGCACACTGGGTGTAGAGCAGGGTTCCAAGTATAAGGGTTGGCCTAAAATGAAACATGGAGACCAGAGTGAAAAAGGATATGAAAAATAGTATTAAGAAGATGGCTTGAGTGGAATAAAAGGAGGCAAAAAGGGATGGGAATTGTTTACACTTGCAGCTGTAAACTCACTATTAGGTTTTATGGAAAGATTAAGCTAATATGCCTGATGACTTTCAGACATACAGTAAAGTCTTATTTAATCCAGTTTAGTCCTGTTTTTTGGCATGATGCCTTTTAATGTACATGCAGTGTAATTTGAAAAAAAAATAATATCAGTAAAGAAAATTCAGAGCAAGTTTCACTTTAACTGCCAAATATCTGTTAAGAGGGAGTCAGGTCTGTTCTAGGTTGTGTCTGCCAAATTAGGTCTCTCCTCAACCTTTGCTGTTCTTTTTGGACTTTCAAATTCCTACACTCTAAATGAGAACACATTATAAAATATTCAGCAAAAATCACCAACCAAAAAACTATCATCGCTTATATGTTTGTAAATCATAGTTTCCTTTCTGAAACCTTGAACCTTTCTCTGATTTAGAAACACTGAGGAGAGGAAGGGAATGGTACAAATATTGTTATTCCTGTAGCCTGAGAGGTTAACTGGAAACTTAACATGCAAAGAAATGTACAAAAGAAAATAAGAGAAAATAATTATACCTTTCAAGTGCCAAGACATGAATAATTGTTCACATGGTGATCATGACTTTTATTGTGACTGCTTATAGCTTTGATATGTTGTTTTATCTGAATTTTAACCAGTCATACTATAAATAGAGAACCTAGAATACTACATTTGTAATTTGCCTGTAATTTTGAGTCATTGATTTCCATAAATTTGATTTTTTTCTAATTCATTTTGAAAATATATAAACATTACAGGGGTTTAGGTTGTAGCCGTGTTGGTCTAAGGATATAGGCAGACAAGGTTCCTTGGGTGAATTTGATATCTTTTATTAGACCAACCCAAATGGTTGGAGAATAGTTATTCATTCCATCCAGGAAGAGCACACACCAACTGCTGCAGCTTCCTTAGCCCGACGAAGGGTTTTTGAACCCGAAAGCTTGCTTAATAACTATTCTCCAACCATTTGGGTTGGTCTAATAAAAGATATCAAATTCACCCAAGGAACCTTGTCTGCCTATAAACATTAGTCATTATAGTTATAAGCTTTTACATATGTTATGTAAATATGTATAGGATCTGGATCCTTAGTTGTATTTTTATGTATAGGGCATATGGTTGTTATTTATGGATTTAAAAGCTGCCATTTGCCTATTAAAAATTGCCATTTGGCATGGCATCATGTACTGCTCATTAAATGACAAAATTAATAAAAATAAGAAGCAAGCATTAATGACCTGAACCTTACACGCATTTTTATGTTGTATAAAAGGTATGCTTTTACAGAATATTTGCATCTGTAATTACGCTGCTTTAATAGCTAAGAGGAAGCCTTTATAAGATTTATGTACATTCTCTGTCAATACCTGCTTATTACAATAAAACCTTAAAATAAATTTGTCAGTACAATATGGGAGTATAATTGACTTACTGATTTAAATCAAAATTAGATAATGAAAAACACCTGATAGATGCTTAATTCAGATATTTTCCTTTTCTGAGTTGTTTTCATAATGAATGCATATATACCTATTAAATAATAGAAACATATTCCAACTTCTATTGAAACTTTAGAGTTGGTAATAACATAAGTAGATTGAGCCTTTTTGTTTAAACCTCCACTAGATTTTATTTACAACTGAATATTTAACAGTGTATTGGGTGAGGCCTACAGGCTTGAAATTGCACTTCTATGAATTTAAGCATCTTATCCTTGACACCTTGTATCCTGTTCCTCTTTCTTTGCTATTTTTTAACTTACTGCAACATGAGGGGTTCTTAAACCATCTGTTAACCTTTTTTCCATTTTTTTTAAACATGTAGAGTCGCTCAAGGCAAGAAGACCCAGAGCAAGCTAGACTGAAACAAAAAGCAAAGGAGGTAAGCAGAGCTAGAGATCATTACACTTGACATTTCAAGGCTTGAACATATTAATTTTTTATGCCATGCTACTTGTATATCGTTAATAAAAATCTGACTAAAAACTTTTTAGGATGTATTTGTTGCTCTGCCTTTGATCTTAATGTTTGCAAACTAATACATTAATACATGTGAAGCCTAAGGAGATTTTATAAGAGAATATTTCCATACATTACATTTTCATTTCCATTTTAGGTGGCTGTAGCTTTTGTTGGGTTGTTGATGACAGCAGCATTAGATTTTGGTGGGAAAAGTATGCCTTTGTCTTTCTGAAAATGTCATTTTCTAGAACTGTGTTACTTTTGCTTACCAGTTTTGTTCCTTTAACAATTAATATTACTAAATATTGTCATTACCTATGCACCATTTCTTTCTCTATAGGGATGTCTTGCATTTATTCATTCACTAGTCCTAGTTCCCGTACTTGTAAAAAAAACCAAACAAACAAACAAAAACCCGGCAAGTAACAGTAGTTGTAGTTTTGGTCTGATAGCTTGAGGGGCCAATTCTGTAGGGTGCTAGGTGCCCTAAACCCTCACAATGTGAGGGGAGCCTATTCCTTGCTTAAGGAATGCACATGTTTAGATCAGTCCATAACTACCTTCAGATAGAAAGACTTAAAATATCCATCAGTTGAAATACTGTGCCTCAGCAGTAACCTACTTGGCAAACCCTGGTCACTGTTAGTTATACTAAATTCCAATAATATTATGAATGAAATGCATTAGGAAATGTTGTTATGCAGAAAGAGACATATGACAATTCTTCCTGTTTATCTCTCTCTACTATTCTTTGTTTGCTCTGTGTTTTCAATATTTTATAATTCCCAAAGCCATAAAAATTGTGTGTATGTGTAAACAGGCAGTAAATCTGTTAAATAGGTAAGGTGTCCTTTCATTGTGTGAATTACTACAAATTGCTATAAATATGCAATGAAGAAGAGTTGTCTAAAAAGAGTTTATGTAAACTTTGTACCATGGGTCACTATGTTCCAACTTTAATGATTTTGAAAATGTTTTCATAATTTATGCAAGTAATTTTCCTGGAGAAGTCACAGAATTGTAAAGCTAGCTAGTGACAAAGATTGCTAAGGTGGACAGTAGATATAAAAGAAAAAATGGTTTTGAAAGTGTTTGAAAATAATTGAAGGCCGTGAAATATATCAAAACGTGCTGCTGAAATGACAACTAAAGCTGTGCTACTGCTGGAAGTGAGAAAGAAGCATTGTTCAAATGTTCATGGTTTATACTTTGTGTGAAGCTAAGCTAGATAGATAGTGGCTTTAATTATATTTTATATCTTGTTGTAAGTAAACTGTCCCAGAAAATATTTGCAATTCATTGGATCTGGGGTGCCACAGTCTCATTCAGTGCAATCCTGATTAGTTAATTGGATTTTTGGCAAAATGAAAATGCTTATCTCTGTTAGTAAAAATATACATTTTAACAAGTAATCAGACTGCAATAGGATTACATCTTTATAGGAAAACTTATTCTCTAGCAGATTTAGTTTTTTATGTTTTGAGTAATTGGAAGAACACCACTTTGAATTGAAAAATTTGAAGGAATCTCAGTATACATTGCATTTCTTGATCCACTAGAGGGAGTGTTGCTATATACATATGAATAAGAGAAAATGTATAATTTTTAAATGTTACTGAATTAATAAATATTTTGGTGATAAGCTAATTGGTAATACTCAGATCAAACTGATGTGTGATTTTTATACTAGTAGTACTGTTGTCAAGTACGTGATAACCTGTTTGAGTTTCTGTGGAATGAATACCAGGTTTTTTGTTCAAGTGCTACATCTAGGTTTTTGTACCTTAGCCCTGCCTTGCTTCCCACCCTCCTAATGAAAGTGCTTAATTGGCTAGCAGTCTGCTGCTGTCTAAGGTTGAATTTCATTCACTGTATTTAAAACTGTACGAAATACAGGATAAGACTCTTCTTTTAGTATTTAAACTCCTGAAACTCTTTTTTCAGTTTATTCAGTGCTTTTTGACCAAAAATATTTTAAACTATTTTAAAAAGGGTTTTTAAAAGGGGTAAGAGAAAACTAGGAATGATATGATTTTAGTTTTAATGTCACTTATTTGGATCAGTAGCTGATTGTATACTGATTGTCAATTGCATTGGAACTGCTGAGACAAAATAACCAGTTTTGTAATACCAAAAGATGTATTAGCCAGATGGTGTTTGGGGCATTACATTATTTGAAATGAAAAGCTTTGAATTAACTTTAAAAATTGTTTCAGTTTCAAAACTGCACTGCCAGCTGGTCTTCTCTTGAATGAGCAGATGATCCACATTCAAGAAGAGAATTTTGTCTCCCTCCAGGTTCTGTGTAAACTGATGAAGGTGATACTGTTAGGTTTACAAGGATTAGCTGAATTAGAAATGATGTTTCCCTAATTTGTAATTGTCTTAAACATGGGGTTTTGGAAATACTTGCCCACGTGTGCTTTTGGCTGGTGGGAAGCCGGTTGTTTAGTCAATGCTGTCTAGAAAGGCATGCAGTATGAATCCAAGATGCTTAGTTTACATAGAATATTTTGAGGTTTTGTCTTTTACTAGATGGATATTGACCTGCTTGTAAGCAGGAAGATGTGGAAATAAATTAGTTTATGTTCATTATTTGTAAAACAGTTGAAAATGTCTTAATTATTTCTAGAAGACACCATGTTATCTGTAAATGTGTAAGGTTTGAGTGCTGTATACCCATATTTCAAGAGTAATACCTGTATATTCATTAGCGACACAACAGACTGATTGAAATGACAGTCCCCTCATCCTCATTTTTCTGTGCTCAAAACCATGCTCTGGATCATACCAGTTAGCCTAATGATCAAAATGGGATGGAGATTGAAAGCTGGGAGGAGGTCAGCTGTGGAATTAGAAAACAGAAAATGTAGTTACTGATGGAACATGAATGGGACCAAAAGGTATGAGGAAAGAGAAATATAACCAGAGACAAAAATGGGGGGAGAAAGGTGAAATTGGAAAACAAGTGGCTTACAGAGAACTTAAGGAAAAAATAAATGAAAACACTTAAAACGAAAGCCATGAGAAGTTTAGTTTCAGATTCAGATTTGCAAGAGAAAGGTATCAAAATATAAGTAAACCAAAACAAGTCTACACAGTGGTCTGTGCTGTTTTAGTTAAATCTACATACCTTTGCACTTTTGGTTAAACTGGTGCAATTCTATATTGAAAGGGCTGTAAAGTAATCAGTGAATATATACTGATATATATACTACTTACGATCACATTTTAATTTTGAACTTGTTTAACAAAACAGTACTATATTATGTTAATATTTATTTCAAGAAAAATAACATTAAAATGAAGTTATTTCAGTTACGTTATATTCTACATGGCTATTCAATTACAGGCAATTCCTGCTTAACGCTGTTTAGCTTAGTGCTGTCTTGCTATAATGCTAATTTTAAATTGATACATGATTTCACTTAGCACTCAGTAAGTTTTGTTATAACGCTCATGGTCACCATCTTGGGTCATTAAAAACACTTGTGGTCACCATCTTGGGTTGTCAAATATTTTCGGTTTTGCTTAATACTTGTTTCACTTAACGTTTGTTTTTTTACTAACCAATTGATAATATAGATGATTCAAAAGAAAGATAGCATAGGTGAGATCCTAAACATACTTTTTTGTTAGGATAATTTCTGGTATATCCAGTGTCCATAAACTGAGGGTTAAAACTGAAATATCCAAGTTTATTGATTCTACTGGAATAATTTAAAGTCTTTATATCATCACTAACAAAGGGTATTGCATGCAAATGAAAACCAAAAAACACAGATCAAAATGGGGGACACATAGCTGGATGGCAGCTTTATGGGAAAGGACTTGGGAGTCTTGATAGACCACAGACTCAATCTGAGTCTGCTGTGTGGTGCAGCCATATAAAAGGCAAATACAGTTCTTATTGCAACTTTTATTGCAAAAGGCAGCAGAAAGATTAGGTGCAAGACACGAGAAGTGATAGTGCCTCTCTACTCAGCGCTGTTTAGGCCTCATCTGGAGTACTCTGTGCAGTTCTGGGTTCCAATTCTGGGTTTTAAAAAGGATGTGGAGAAGTTAGGTTCCAGAGGTGGGCAACAAACATGATCAAGAGCTTGGAAGGCAAGTCATATGCAGAGAGGCTGAAGAGAGGCATGTTCAGTTTGTGGAAAAAGCACTTAAGAAGGGACGTGATAGCAGTCTTCAAATAGTTGAAGGACTGCCATAAAGAAGAGGGAAAGCACTGTTTTTCTCTGTCTACGGAGAAGAGTGGACCAGTGGCTTGAAACTTCAGCAAATTAAATTTAGCTTGGATATCCAGAAACATTTCTTCACTGTTAGAATACTGAAGCAGTAGAATAGACTGGCTGGGGAAGTTGTGGACTCTATCACTGGACGTGTTCACCAAGAGGTTGGACAGTCATTGGTCAGGAGTCTAGGCATAGCCATGCTTGTTTTCTACTATGGGTATTTCCCATGCTTCTGGGGTTTGCTTGTTGATCTCCCTCCCTTCTCTGCCTTTTTTCTGCTGTGTGTGTCTGGGTGTTTTTAAACCTCCCCAAAGGCATTGGGTGTTGGCTATAGCTAAGGCTGGGGACTTCAACTGGGGTGTGCTGATTCTCAAAGTTGGAGATTCCTGGCTAGGGGGTCTTGCCCCTCTGTTCAGGGTCAGACCGGTTGCCATGTTTGGGGTCAGGAAGGAATTTTACCCCATGGTCAGGTTGGTTCTTAAACCATCTGTTAACCTTTTTTCCATTTTTTTTAAACATGTAGAGTCGCTCAAGGCAAGAAGACCCAGAGCAAGCTAGACTGAAACAAAAAGCAAAGGAGGTAAGCAGAGCTAGAGATCATTACACTTGACATTTCAAGGCTTGAACATATTAATTTTTTATGCCATGCTACTTGTATATCGTTAATAAAAATCTGACTAAAAAC